TGATAAAGTTGTTTCATATATGGTTATGAAATTGTTTCATATAATACTTAATGAAATTTTAATGAAACTGTTTCATGTATTTCTCTAAAATTAAAAAAATGAAGATAATAATATCCATAATTAACAACTTCCACAATAAAAATGATTAATCAACATCTTATAATTACAAAAAAATAAACAAAATGAAAAATTATGATTGGTTGGATGAGTTTTGCACGGTTTGTACAAATTGGGTGGTTTGCATTTGATTGCTCCTCTATATATATAGGGTTGGATTCACGTGAGACCAAGGGTATTTCGTGAGACCCGTAAGATCAATTTACGTTCATTGATCAACTTTATAAGCTAATGATCTAATGATTTAAAGTTGCACGGTGCCAATTTTGTGATTATTGAGAAGTCTCGTGACGTTTATGAATGTTCAGATTGTCATATTGTAGATCTAATTTAAGGGTTGAGAATTGGTCTTACGGGTCTCACGAGAAACCTTTTGTCTCACATGATCCCAAGTCTATATATATATATCTTATTGAGTCACTTGAAGAGGCAGAGTCAAATATAATTTATTTATTCGTGTTATTTCTGTTAGTTATGGTATTTCTATATTTATATTTCTGCATATTTCTATTAGATATTTTTTTTAGATAGAGATTTATAGAAAAATGTTCCATTCATACAAAAAAGCTGGGGTCTTGCTAAGATTTTTTCAGAAAAATATTTATTATCTATGTAGATAAGAAAAAATAGAAATTACTATGTCTCTGTACCGACTGAACCAATGACTATTCATGATTCCATAATTGAATCAATTCCATACTGGTTCCAAATTAGAGGAATGTTATGGTAAAACTTCGTTTAAAACGATGTGGTAGAAAGCAACGTGCGACTTGAAGGACACGATCCGGTGTGGATTATATATATATATATATAATCATGTGCTTCTCATATTTCATGAATAGCCGAGACATTGAGGGTTACGCGGCATGGATTTGCCGATTGACGAATCGGATATTGGCTCGCTGTCCCACCGACGAACCAATCTAGAAGTCGAAAGGGAAAGCAGGTATATCTGTAAGTTCTCGAAATGGGATGATGATAGACATGATATATATATATATATATATATCAATACTATATTATAAAACATTTGACAAACACTTTTAAAAACCACTTTTTATGCATTAAGTACTGTTTATTGATGCATATTTATTAAAATTCAAGGTTACAAGTAAATTGTGTGTAAATGTAACTTATTAAATATTCATGCTTGAATTCGTGTAATTAACTATAGATAAACATAATCAAATAGAGGATAAACATCTCATTTTAAATATGAAAAATCCAAAAAATAATAAGGATAATTATTGAGTTCTAACAAWATACTTAAATATTATCTTTATAAAAAATTATATTATTAAACCAAAAATAAAAACAAATTAATTAAAGAAATACAAAAAAAAAGAAAGTTTAAATAGTTAATTTGGTAATAATATCATTTTGTATGATATTTTCATATTTATATTTTATTCAAAACTTAAAAACATTATCGTTTTCTCAAAACCACATAAAATTGTATTATAACATCGACTGGGACAAAAAAAAACATTAAAATTGAGATGTATCTCGTTATATTGTGCGAATACCCTTCCAATATATATATATATATATATTTATAATTATCTTTTGAAAATCCTAAATTTTAGTTATTTGAAATGTTTTCTTATTTCCAAATTTACTATTAATTTCATTAATCTTTCAATCGATTGAATTTATCCTTAAAATTGATGAAATTTATATATAACTTTGGATTATAATAATACCCGAACCCGACCGATATCAACCTGAAATCCGACCAACCTGAATCCGAAACAATCCGAAATCTGAAACCTAGAATTCGGGTCTAGATTTTTCATATCCGAAATCCGATCGGATTTTTGGTTTGTCCACCGAACCCATTCGATTATAATATTATATTACTATTTAGAGGTGAAAAGATAAGGGGGCATGCCACCAATGCAATTTAAAGGTTTTTCTCTTGATTGAGTGAGTTTTTTCATAGTTGGATGAAACGTGTTTTTAAGTTGAGAGGGACAAATTTAGGATTTTTTTTTGGTTTTCTACATAAAACTCCCCTAAAAGCTTATTGAACAAGCTATTTTTTATATCATTAAGTCACTACCAAATAATCATGTATAATTGATGAAATAAATTGCAAGTCCCATTAAATTTATTAAACTACTAGCAAATGAGCCCGTACTAATGCTATGCTCCTCATCAAAAATAAATTGATAATACCCACTTTTTATATTATTCAAAATCTTTAAATTAATTAAACAACTTTCAAATCAATATTGTTATTTTAATAAAAGAAAAGAAACATATACTATTAATGATAGAAGGGAAAAGTTTGAAAAAATTGAAATCCTTCTTATTGCTCGGTGAAATAGACATGTCTGTGAAGATGAATGGACTTTTATGTTTTGAGTGATTAAGTCTCTGGACAGTTTTTTTTTAAACAAATAAATCCTTAGACATTGTAAAACTTATTAAATAGAGCTTCATGACCTAGAAAAATGAACAGTAACCTGCATAGCCGATAAACATCAGGAAATAAAATAAAAGAAAAAGAAATTTGATCCTAAATCAACTAAATTATCAGAACCCTAATATCCCACGTCACCCACCAATAGCTCCCATCGCATTTCCATCGTCGTCGCCTCATTTCCGACCATATCATTTAGGCTACTGTTTTGATAATCACTAGAATAGAAGAGTGCATAAAAACCCATTTGGCTATTTGTTTATCATACTCAATCGACAAAAATACTACTTTTCTACATAATCTTCATCTCTTTTGAGTCTACTTTGTGAGGTGCAAACTATAGTTGAGAAACTTTTGCCATAAGTCCTCTTTTCCATCGGCCTTTGTCGGCTACCACATCGTCTCCACCGTTGGATCCATCTCCAGCTGTCGCCATCATGACACCTCCATCTCTAGAGAGACCATCCCTCTCATCTTAGGTTCAATTCTCATCCTTCTCAACTGTTCATTAGTTCATCCAAGTAATATAAGTAATCTTCATCTCTCAATAGGTCATACATAATTGAAGAACTACTATCATATGTATGCATTCGTATTAAACTAATATGTGATCTGATGTATTCAATCCTTTAGTATTGGTTCACTTGTTTGCAGTTGTATTGTAGAAGAAGAAAGAAACAAGTAATCTTCATCTTGCTTACTTAGAAGATGTGTTTGGTGACTAATGATGTTAGCGTTTTGATCATTTACTAAGGAGGCGTTTGATTTTCATGATGTTTTTTGAATGAATGAAATTCTGTCAAACGAATTGGAATTTGAAGAATTTGGATGAAATTGAATTTAGTTTGACCATCTGTACTTTTTTATAATTCGAATGATTGATTCATTGGACAATTTAATGGGCTAGCGAGTCATATCTCGAGGGAAAAGATATATGTCTTTAATCTTGATTTTTACTTGCTAGACAGCTACCGATGAGCTTTCTAGGTAACAAGGATGTATTTAATAGATTTTAAAATATTTAAGAATTTATTTGTTCAAAAAAATTGTCTAATGATTTAACCATTCAAATTATCAAAGTCTATTAGGTTTTTTTGGCTTTTCCTCATGGTTGGTTGCCAAGAAGCCAATAAAATTCAAATCCATTACATTCCTTTAAACTTTCTGTTTGGTTTGTAGAATGTAGTTTTGGAAAACTGGAATACAAATAGATAAATGCCAAAATTACTGAATGAAGCTAGCTAGCACTTCGTTTAGGGTGGGGTGTTTGTTTTCATCCTATTTGGGTCGATGCTGGTAGGGATGCAAATATGCTTCTATGCTTATTGGGGTACATATTAAGAAGGTATACTACGACGAAGTTAAGCCCTGCGATTCCCCCAACTGTTCCAGTCCTCGCATTTTCCCATCTCCTTCATTGCTACTTGTAGACCCTTTCTCTATATCACACACTTCAAACCTCATTTTGTCAAGTTTAACACCCTAAAATTTGGAAGAAAAAAACGACTAACTTAAACTTTTTATTAACACATCAAATAAAGGATAATTTATTTTTAAAGTTCAACACTTGGATACTAATAGGGACAATCTAAGATTTAACATCAACGATTAATAAACCAAGCTTTACATAAAGTCTAGATTAGGTACACATGTTACTAAAACCCAACAACAATCGCGATCTCCAAAATACGGAAGACGTCCCCAAATAACTAAATCTTTCTTGTGCCTTTAACTAGCACTCAACTGTTCATAGTGTCGCTAGTTTCATTCCTAACAAGGTCTTGTTCTTTAAAATAGAGATTTGTTAAGAAAACTTTAAATATAAAAGTTGATGTTGAGAAAGAGAAATAATTATTTTATTCAATTTTTCATAAAAGGTTTTTTTTAAAACTATATTGGAATGATAAATTAAAGAATATTATAATACTATAATTTATATTAAAATCTTTAAAATAGAAAATTTTATAAAAATAAATGTAATTCTTTTTGAGTAATAATGTTATGCTTCTCCATTTAATTTTTTTTATATACAAAAAAGCTTGTTAGAGATGCTTTAAAAAGATATATTTTTCCCATCTCTTCGTATAGGAGTGAGATGAGTTTGTTTTCGAATAAATATATATGAAGTCAAATTGGTAAATAATAGTATTATATCAATTATTATCATCGAAGATGGATTGTCACCCTTTGTTTTCGAATTTGGAGGGAAAAAAAGGGAAAAGAACTTTCATTATTTATATTCTTAAAAGGAAGGAAAAGGGAAAAAAAATTTATGTCCTTGACGAGAGAAAAAGAAGAAAGATGACATTTTTATTAATATATATTTTATAATAAAAGATTGAATTTTTGCAATTTTAATAATTTTTTAAGGACTTGTAATTTCTTCTCTTTCCCTTTCTCCTCTTACAAGTGCAAGGAACAGGCAAACTTTCTATTTTCATTCCCTTTCCCTTTATGTGTATGTAACCAGCGTTAAAGCAAATGCAAGCAGGTGATGTACAAAATTGATACTTGTAAGCCATTACATTAAAAGCCTCATGTGATGTGATGTGAAGAGATTTAAAAAATCACAAAATTGTACACATTTATTCTAATACACCAAAATAACCAACAAGCCGCCAACAGAAACCTTTTAGATTTAGATATCGGCACCACCATGCACTTCCTGCAAGTATATAACAACACACCACAGTAAGTAAATTCTCTTTTTGCTTCCGTCTTTTCCCCTCCTACTACCAACTATAATTGTTCAAATTATATACATTGTACCAACCAAACCAACTATTATTCGTACCCAACTTAATTGGTACCAAGTTTTTCGATTGGTACATCGTATTGGTTTTGTACCAACATTTCAAAAATTGAATTTAAGTTACAACGGTCGGACAATAAAAGTTAAAAGTTTAATAGTCATTACTTGAAAAACTAATACAAACTTTCACATAAGTGCATGTTTCGTGACATCTTTTCAAACCAAGCAATGTTGAATAGATTAAAGTATTAAATAATCAATTAACGGTAGTACCAACCACCTTTAAGTCGATTTATTCACAAGGTTGGTTTGATTTAGTGCAATATAAGTAAGGGGTAAGGGTATGTTAAATGACCTTGTTTTGAAGAACTGCTCCATCTGGAATTTCCAACTTCTCTCCAGATTTGGCAGCAACCACCACTTTACCCTTTAGTCAAACAGGAATTAAACACAAAATGAGCAGAATTTTAACAGCAAAATGGATTGGATGGATGGAAATAGCTACCTTGAGAACAACAGAAGATCCAAACCACACATCACCAGACACCTTCAAGCTGTCCAGCTCAATAATGCTCGGAATAGACTTGAAACGCTTCAAGAAATCTCCAACCTGAGTTTTACAATTCAGGACGACCATCATCAGATGAAAACACACTTTATAATATAATATCCCATGTTGTTGTTGTTGTTGTTGTTGTTGTTGTTACCTTCTTAAATTCAGGACCCAATTCGATTGAAGGATTTGCTGGATCTGTCCTAGCTGGGTTGCGGATCACATACCCATCCTTTTCAGTGTAAAGATCAGACTGCAGCAATACATATTACAATTAATCATTCTGAAAAATTAATTAATTAATTAAAAATGAATAAAATAATATAAAGATGATGACAGACAAACCTGAACAAGAAGCAGATCAGAACTTGCTTTCACTGGCAGGAAGCGAGATCGGGGAACGTTAATGCCAATGGCATTATCAAAAAACTGGAAGCAAAATTAACAAACATATAAATCAAAGAGTAATTTTCTGATAATGATATGATAGATGATACCTTGATTGCAGCACCAGCTGCGGTTTCTAGCTGAAGAACTTTAACACCATCGACTTCCTTTGGATTTGGAATAATCTCCATTTTAAGTGCATCTGCTTGCACAAGTCTTTTAATGGCATTCAAATTCACCCACCTGCCATGCCATGCCATACCAACACTCTCAGTACTCAACTTCCTACTACATTGAAAGAAAAAAAAATCACATTTGTAACTCACAAGTTGTTGGTGTTGAAAATTTTGAACTTCTCTATTGATTTGAACTCATTCACCTGCACACACCACAAATCACATCCAAATATCAGACCATATTCCTTTTGTTTTTATTGGAGCTATATTAGCCTGGTAAATTGTTCATCTCTTTTAATAGCTTCAACCTATTATAAATTCATTTTCCAATTCCAGCTTACAGATGTTGTCCTATCTTCCGATGAAATGCAATTATATTCTTGTTCTTCCGATGCTAATGAACAGCAATATTAAATGGAAAAAGGAAGAAGCAGAACTAACTCACATGCTGATCAGGAACTTGTGCAATCTCCAGAAGCTGCAGCAAATAGAAATGGGAGGCATAAGTCAGAAAAAGAAATCAGCAAATAGTGGGTTTTAGGCATATTAGGATGTGGATGTTAAACAATAAAGTGTTATATTTATACTGATGCCATTAGGAAATTTGACACATTAGGTTCACTTATTCAAAGCTAGGCATGTATCAACTCTATCATTATGTTCTATTTACTCAAATACCCCTTCATTTATCGTCCTCAAGGAAAAAAATATGATTCGCTCCTAACAGTGTGTTGAACGGTAAAAGATCTTTTAGCAATGATTTGCTTAAATGTTTATTCTGCCTTCCATACCTCAATGTGTAAATCAGTACTAGCCTACTTGTACCTGTTTAAACCATTATAAGAAAGTTTTTTTTTCATTTTCCCCCTACAAGGCCAGCTATTACCACATTACAAACATCTTCATTCAACAATTTACTCATTCCAGTCTTATAACAGGATGACATCAACTGATCAACATCCTTATTTCTAATGTATCCATTTCCTAGTTTCTCACTTCCTTGGTTTCTCAAATTACAAGAAGTTGAGAAAAACTTACACTTTGAATACTGGTGATAGGAGAGTGTAAAACACAAATGCACGACTCCATATTATTAGGTGTGTCACAAAAAACAAATAACCAGCAAAATTCGGGTTATTTGGTTTTCAGGTTAAACGGTTTAGTTAAGGGAAGCCTTATTTGGCTTAGTTTCAGTTACTTTTTTACAGTTTTGGTTAAACCGAATAAGGCGATATATATATTTTATATTTATACAAAACAAATAACATTCATTTTTGTGACCCAAAACGATTAAAACCAAATCTTATTAGGTATGGTTATCAGGTAGTTCAGAAAAAGTTGAAAACAGAATAAACTGACCCAATAACACCCGTACAAATTATTATATCTAATGGAATCAACTTGTTGTCTAGACACTCAGGTGAGGTGGTTTGATCATGAATTTCACTTCACAATCGCAGAACCAATCTAGGAATATTTACAGGGGAACACATAATAGGTGACAACCAATACATACCTGAACTTTCCCGTCGTATGAAATTAGAGTACCACCTTTCACATCAGCCAATGTTTTGGGTGTTACCTGTCAAATCAATAATATTAAGCAAGAGCCACAACTTGAGAAGGAAAAAAAATGAGAATTACACAACACTGAAATACCTCCATGCAGTACTCGTTCTTGTTCTGGATCAAGTGATTCAAGATTTCTATTAGGGTGAATTAAGACATACAACAATGAAAGTAACACAGCTTTTTTCACATGCTTTTATAAAAATAACTACAGAAATGTAGATATAAATACTGAAAGTAATAAAGCCTGGTAAGGATACTCAAATCAACTACAGCTCCCAAGTTATCAGAATTAGCAACGAAGACATATTCCTTGCCCTGTAATGGACGAAAATGTCTGAGACCAATAAATAAACATGAAAAGACTATTATATACTCAAAATGCCAAAAACAAATCTGCAAAGCAAAACCTGTGACAATAGTGCTTCGAGTTTCCCACTATTCATCAAGGATGGGAAAACATCACCATGCCCTGGGGGGTACCTTTAGATAAAAGATATCTATAAGTGTAATGTATGGACTACGGCATATTAAATTATGTTTAAACTATTAATGCAAAATACAGTCCATTTTAATACATGTGCCAAGTAGGAGGTTTCATGAGCTAATTTTTGAAAACTAAACAATTAGATAGAAGATTCCTTAAATCAATAATCAGTCAAAGGGTTAACTTTTGAATTACCATCCATCTTTGCCAGTCACTCCTTTTGATGGCAGTGGCAGAAACTCATCAGCAACCAGTCGAGGATACTGACTCTGTAAAATTTAAAGGGAAATGGGTAAGTAAGATTGCAGCAAATTAAGTATGCCCCTTCTCAAAGCTGAAATTAAAAACCAGAGCACGGTACATCAATAAGGGCATGAAATAAAATACCATAGCAATATTGCTTTGTATTTCGCAGTTGTTGCATTGGAGAAAATATTTACGAAAGATGATAAATATAAAGTTCTACGGTTACGCACCTGATTGAATGTGTGAATATCGATCTTTGAACCAGCATATTTTTCCACAATCTACATTTTAAAACATACAGAAGATATCAATATACAGTCTGATAAAAGTAAGATTGTGTGTACAAAGTAAATGTTTCTACTAGCCACCTTCTGTGTATCTTCATGAGTGTTGAATGAGTTCATTAGAAGCAAGGGTACATTACAACCATACTTCTTATTGAGTGACTACAAAGAAAGTAAAGAGTTAATTTCCAGCAAAGATCACAAGCCTAGAATAATATGGATGTGTGTATGTTTTTCCAAATGCTAATACCTCAAGTTGGATGACAATTAAGTCTAAGAATGTTAGGCCATTCCGGACTTCTATGACCGACCTGCATCACCAGGATGAAGTCAGATGCTAGGAAAAGAAATCAAACGAAGAAAGTTATGGAAGCCTTGGCAAACTAATGTTCCAATTTTATACTGAAAGCCACACGTCATATGATGCATCGTTCCAAGCAAGTTCAAGAAAAGAAAATTTATGATGCAGAACTGATGATGATTCAAAGGCTTAACTTCAATTTGCAGAAAAAGTGAAAGACCTAACTTTGAGAGCAACAATAAACAAGTATCGAGTTCATATAGCATTGAACATCCTGTCTATAGAGTGTGATAGGCACTTTTTTCGTAACTGTACACAATTTTTATATTCAGGAGAAGAAAATGGCCATCCAAGGTAACAGGAGAGTGGCTTAGTTGAATTGATGTTCTTGAAGACTTCAGCCCTCTAATACTGAATTCCATCATCTGATAGTGTGTGCAGAGGATTGAAAAATGCAATAGTGGATGCAGCTTCTATTAAGGCCAAGTGCGTATCACATTGCAAAAGGTAGAGACAAAAAGGTTTGGACTCAAATCACTAAGAAGCATCAGCATGGAAGATCCATCCACACACAACCTCTACAAATATTAACAGTCTTATGAACCTTACTAAAGAAATATTCTTAATTGGTAAGAAGAATGAAGTAATCACTTAATTAATTTTAATTCACTATTATGTAAACCAGGTAACCACATACTTTGGCCCAGTGCATCCCATTGTTGTCCCCAACCCTCCATTAAGCTTTAGCACTACAAGCTTATCCAAGAGACTCTTGGTTTGAGCAGCATCTGCAACAATTAACACAAGAATTTCACAAAAGATAACTAGATCAAGAATACACTCTTATCACTTGACATAAAATGGTCCCAAGTTATGCCAAAATGATAATGTACAAAGAGTAGAACCAACAAAAAGTTAGACTATTACTTCCGGTACAGGTGATAAAGTATCAGTAGCACCAACTAAAAGATTAAACCGTTACCTTCTGGTACAGCTGATAGGCTATCATACGGCACAACGATCTTGTCGGTTGGTGTTTGGATCTTACTCCATTCAACATGTTGGGCCTCACCACTTTGTTAAACAATTTGCATCAAAGGAAAACAGAAATCCAAAAATGAATCATTAACATCATCAGACCATAACAATTAAGCTTTTCCTTGCCGTTCAATTATATTTGAGAAACATGTGCATATGATTAGCAACCATACCCACACGTTTGGCGTTTTTCCAATTTTCCTTTTCTCTCCTACTTGAATGATAAACAAATCTACAATTTTCTGATGTTTACTTGATGATTAAATGCATATAACTCAAAACTTAGTAATTTTTTCCCTATCTTTTGTCTTGTCCACTAACGTATATAAACACTAAACAATAAACAAATCTGCAGTATCCAATTTCGAATTGATCTTCATAATTAGGAAATAGTAACTCAAAACAGAAACTAATTCGATCACTGCTCTTCAAATTGAGATCTATACACCGACCATTAAATCAACAAACAAACATGAAAAATTACTCTTTCCAACGCTATTTATTCTTTTTATTAAGAAAAAACAAGTTATATCTATCCAATTGATATTCAAAATTAGGAAATAGTAACTCAAAAACAGAGCCAATCGATCACTAGTTTTTCGGAGTTGAGATCAATACACCGATGATTACAGCAACAAACAAACACGAAATACACTCTTACCAGCCTTAATTTGTAATTTGACGAAGAAAAAAAAAAAGTACCTCAGATAGCGCGAGACAAGGCTGATAAATCCAGATTTCTCATTATCACTGCAACACGTTCAAACATCCAACAATAAAATCAAATCCAGATCCATAAATTCCAAAGCACTAGCATGCACCAATACTAACAATCAACAAAATCGAAGTAGAGAGTGGGGTAAAAACTCACCTGATCTGCGTGAGGCCAGAAACAGCCGAGCGAAGGTTATTCAACTTCTCGGTATCAGCAGCAGCCATTGTAGATCAGCAATGCAATTGGCTACAGGGAGAGATGGATCTAGAGAGAGAGGAGTTGAGATTTGATCTAGGGTGATAAGAAATTGAAAAGCAGACGTAAAACTGAAGATGGCGTGGGTCGGGTATATGTAGAACAGGTGGCAGCAAAGCGTGATTGGGCAAAGTAATTTTAACACCCACATAAATCAATAAAGAATATTCAGGCGAATATGATCGTAATTTGTAAGATCAAAACGACGTCCCATGGCCACTACTGCACTACGCCCATATTCATTCACAAAACCATTTGAACAAGCACGTGGGGTGGCATAACTTCGTTTTTCGTCCCTGTAGTTTGTTGAGAATTACTATTTTCGTCCTTGTTTTTATAGGTTTGGTTTTCATCCTTGTAATTTATAATTCATTGCTTTTTTTTTTATGTATGTGGTTTACAATTTATTATTTTTTTCGTTCCTTTGGCTTAAATATTTATTATTATTTTCATCACTCATACTTAATTCTAATAAAATGTCTTAAGGAACTTAAACAACAAAGAATTACAAACTACAGGGACCAAAACCGTAATTTTAAAAGTAGATAATCACAACTCTAAAGAAACCATAAAGACAAAAATTATAGTTTACTTCTTTACCAAATCATAAGTACAAAATAGTTTATTCAACAAATTTTTAAAAATTCTCCAACTTGAAAATTAAAATCTTCAAAAAGACAACATATTTTTAAGAGTGAATTACATTTTTCATTCATGTGGTTTACCAAAAATCTGGTTCTCGCCCCTCAACTTTATTAATTACATCCTAGACCCTGTGGTTTGCATTTTGTCTTGATTTAGTTCCTAGTATTGACGGCAGTAAGAAGGGAGCGGTTAAGTTGCCCCACGACATACACGTGAGGAGAAAAATGGTATTTTCCTTTATAACAGACATATGCCAACTTTTTTTAGTTCTGACATTGAAAAGATAAATCCCTACTCCTACTCATTACTCGTCCCTTAAACTTCTCACTCTCGCCGTATTCTTCAATGACTCTCTCCTCGACTTGAAGCTCTTTAAGTGAAGAACCACAACTTGCTCATGGTTCCGACTTTGTGTAACATACATAACTAGTCCTTTTATCCATATCATCTCTTTAGTATGGTTTTTGACTTCTATTTTATCTTTTTGTTCAATCTTTTAAATTGGTATATAATAGGTTATTGTTGAAACTATCTTGTATCTTTGTCCTCTTTGATTTACAGAGGACTTTCCTACATTCATCATTTTGAAGATTTCTCATGATGGTGTATTCGCAAGGTACCTAGGTAGGTAATATATAAACGAAAAAGAGAGTTTTGTTGATTTAGTAGACTCAGATGAGTTATCTATTCACAAGATCAAAGACACGATGCAACAGTCGGGTTACAAGGATCCCCATATAGTGTATTAGCATTTTAGGGTTCCAGATATGGACCTCGACTATGGTCTCTTGGCCTTAGGTAATGATCAAGATGTTGAAGTTATTTAAATATGTTCTTGAGACCAAACTTTTTGATATTGACAAAGAATATGGTGTGACCACAAATCAAACATATATTAAGTCTCCATAATCCATTAAGGTTGTCATTGAGGAAATACCAGAGGAACATTGACTAGAGCTACGAAGGTGTAAGACACTATTATTACACGATCTTGTAGAAAAAAAGTTACTTCTAGGATGGTTTGACAAAGATCCTATAAATGAATACAATAGTGGTGGGTGAAGGCAGTGAGGAGGTACAAGCTAAAAAGTACAAGATGAGAGTGGTGTGCATGTAAATAATAGTATACAAGCTAGTGATGGTGTTGAAGGTGATGCATATGATTTATTTGAATCATATGGATTGAATGACTTTGACCTATTTTGGGATGCCTTGAATGTAGAGGAAACAAAGAATTTAGAGGAAGTAAACAATGTAGAGGAACAACACGAGGTTGATTCTGATAGTGATGATTGTGACAATATTATGGATGAGGAGGATAGTGATGTAAAAGTAGACTTATAACTTTAACCAAAATATGGACTTAGATATTAAGTGGGTAGGTAACATAAATAACATAGAATAGGATGCAAATTTGGAGGTGCTTGATAATATGGTGGACTTGCATGAGTTTGATAGTTGTACTGATTCTGAAAAGGAATCATCAAGACCCCATAAGATTCATAGCTTAAGAAGACAATGGAAAGAAGAAGATATAACTAATTATATAAATCATTTTTGGATGTTGGGTAGGAGTTTGTAGGGAGGCCAACAATAAATAAGATGGAGAAGTCGCATGTCATTGAGACAAGGAGATATATTTCTATAACAAAGAAAGATAAGTTCAGATTTAGGGTAACTTGTAGAGGTAAATGCTTATATTTAGTACTAAGGTAGGTGATTCAAGTAGTGGTGGTCCACGTAAGGACAAATCAATAATTTCAGGTGAGAGTGGCTTTGATTAGGCATTGCTAACTTCTAGAACAAAATAAGAGGATACTTGGGTTGTCAAAACATACTATCTTGATCATAAATGCTTACAAACAAGACTAGTTAGGTTGTGCGCAACAACTAATCTTTCAAAAAATAGAAGACACACTTCTATTCAACCTTGATATCCCTGTAAAAGCTCTGCAAAATCAATTGCAGGAGAAGTTAAGGGTGAAAGTTTCAACAATAAAGATATTTAGGTCAAAGTCATTATCCTTTGTCTAGAAGAGGGGTGATTACGAAGAGAAATACGAGAAGTTGAGGGATTACATAATGGAGTTGTAGAGAAAAACCCAAACACTAAAGTGAAGATAGATGTTAAAAGAGAACCAAACCTTGCTAGTAAAACAAGGCGATTTAAAAGGATACACATTTGTCTGGGAGGACTGAAAATATGCTCCAATGTAGGACCTAGGCCCTTGATAGGGTTATATGGAGCATTTATAGAAGGCCCTTTCTAGGCCAGATACATATTGTAGTAGGTATTGATACATATTGTAGTAGGTATTGATGCAAACAATGTCATTTATCTACTTGCATATGTTGTTGTGGAGGCATAAATTCTTGGTCATGCTTCTTGGAGTGCTTTGCAGATGATCTGTATCACATGGAAAGTAAATCAAAATTTACCTTCACTAGTGACAGGCTAAAGGTAACACTTTAAACATTTTTGCGTTACTTTACATAATTTCACATGAATTTACTGATCTAAACAATGATTTAAACATTTCTATACTTGTTTTAGGGTATTCTACCAGCTGTTTCCATGTGCTGAGCATAGATACCGCCTACGGCATATCCATGAAGACATGAAACAACACTAGAAAGGAAAAAGTTATCATAGATCATTTGTGGCATTGTGTAACAGCTATCACAGTCCCTCAATTCCATAGGTGTATGGATGTTTATAAAATTTCAACAAACGAGCATATGAATGGTTGTCGCATATCCAACTTCAATATTGATCTAAATCTCACTTTATTGGTAATAAACTCACTTAACAAGATTATATTTATTGGTAATACTCGTTTATCTAACATGTTCTTAACATGGACTAAAACTCTAGAAGATGCCCAGATGATGTGGTACTCAACAACATGTGTGAGGTATTCAACAAAACCAATCATGTTGCACCAAAGTACATCAGGGAATATTTCATGAAGAAGATTGTGAAGGTGAACAAGGTAAAAGAGAATGTTGATAGACGTCTTTCTCCAACTGCCAATAAGCTGCTTAATGTTATCAAATCAAAGGTTGAACACAACATTGTCATTAAGAATGCAGGGCCAAGCATCAAGTAAGTGGTTGTTGTGGTCTAGATTGCATTAAAACAAACCTAACCAAAACAATGAAAAGTGATGCAACTCGCCTATTACAAGTAATACTATAAAATACCAATTATAGGTCCACAGGGAAAGTAAGCTTTGAAATCGTTGAAAAGTTAAACTAGAAAATTCAACTTCAGAGGGTAAATTCGAAAAAGTATGTTTGTGAGTGAGTTCCAATTAACATTAGGCAAATAAACAATACTTATAATGCAAGGGTGTAAACTATTGCAACATATTTCAACTCAAGGTGATGATATAGTAGTAGATCTAGTAGCTTAGAAAATAATGTTTAATGTCGAACCATCAACTTAAGAGCACTCGGTCAGAGGTTGAGACAAGAACTACTCCATATATCATAACTCAAGTTGTCACTACTTGTGATCTTGGCAATGGAAGAATCCTTCCTCTTAAGTTGCAAGGGCTAGGAATGGATATCCATTTTTTAGTATCTTAAAAAGATTACTTCCATGTCACTCAAGTGGTGTGTGTATAATGACTCAATGCATCAAGTTCATCATACTTTAACATTTTTGGCAAGTGGCCACTTATCAAGAAGTATGTAATCAATATAAACTTGAATGAGAAGTTGGAGTAAACATCAATTCATAATAATATCCACTTCATGTAGTTTTGGGTCTTGTTGATCCTCTCTCTCAGTGATTTGATGATAATTCATTTTACCTTATACGAAGTATTTATGTTTCTGTCTTTCAGTTCCATCGATCATCACTAAGTCTGTTCAGTGATCACTGAGAACATGTAATGTAAATCCATCAGTGACAGTGATACTTCAAGAAGACAAAAATCACACCAAAGAACCTTCAGCGAAAGCCAACGACTGAAACTGAAGATTAGAGACTGGCGAGTACGTGATCTGAAGCGGTATTCAGTGATTATAACCTCGTCTATATGTATGAAGATTTCTCAAGCCTCAGGGAATGCTGAAGAGACCTTCAGGTTATTCCAGCATTCAGCGATTAAAAGAAGCTTGTTGAGCACAATTGCTTTTGTCTTGTCCTTATACATAAAAAGGACAAACTCATACCTTTCTAGAAGCATAGTACGGTACGGAGCCTATTAGTTGACTTTACTACCCACCAACTTTATTAAAGGATGTTTGCTCATGAATAGGCTTTTGTACTATTCACTGTAGCAAAGGACAAGTCTTTCTCTAAAGGCTTGACGCGTATTCAAACCCTACTACGTTGCATTAAATGTGCATTTAATGCAATGGGTATAAATAGATGTGTTCTATCCCCATGCAGATATATGAGATACTTACTCTTGAA